AGTGTCGAAGGGAGCGAGCTCCACTATGCAGTAGAATACCAGTGGCATTCGAAACAAAGGGTTCGATACCGAAAGGAACTGCGGGTCGGTGGACGGGCAGCTCCGCTATCAGAGTCCGATGTTTGGTACGCTTGCTTGACCCAAGACGTCTAAGAACGGATATGCAGTCTGTTCTTCCTCGGATCTACGGCTGCTATCTACATGTTGCACACCTATATTCTGACTCCCCCCTTCCGTCCCCGCCTCCCCCCTCCTCCCCCGCCCCCATCCCCTCCCTACCTCGCCCCCCCTCCGTCCTTCCCCTCCCCCCGCCTCTCCACACTGCGGGGGGCGCTTCGGTCCCTGTCCTCTCCTCCCTTACCTCTTCAACATGACGCCGGGCCAGTTCTGGCCCGCAGCGTCAGTGAGCGCGGCCAGCCTCGTGCAGCACGGCCGCGCTCGAGACGTGACTCTCCTCACCTCCACCTCCTCCCCCCCGCCCCCTCCCCTGTCCTCCCTGGCCCCCCCTCCTCCCCTCCCCATCCAATTCGACAATAAGATAAACTGAATCCTACTCGCCCTCTTCCCCTGAAGTTGTCCGGAAGATCTCCCGCCCCCTCCGCGTGTTGATTGTTTGCCCTTTGGGATTCAAACATAATTTTGTCGTATGTGTTTGGGATGGTGCTCCCGCTGCAGCGTGGGCCTCATTTTCGGATCGGTGCTTTGCTCCCGTTGTTGAGAATGGCGCTCTCGCCTCAGCGCGGGCCACTTTTGTGGATCCCAGTTTCTTCATTGTGGTCCCCCCTCATTTCCCCTTCTCCGCCTTCCCCTGGTCCTCCATTTCCTCCCGTTCCTTCCATTCAAGTTTCTCTTGCTGCTGTTCGTCTCGCCCCACCGCGGGTAACTTTTCCGAATCCGAGCATTCCTTCATCGTTACCGCCCCCCTCAATCCCCTCCTCCACCTTCCCCTGGTTTTCCTTTTCTTCCCGATCCGTCCGCTTTAGTTCCTGCTGCTGCTGTTCGTCCTCATCCTTTTCCTCTCGCTCATCCTCCTGCTCACCCACCACGTCCTCCTCATCCTGTGCACGCAGCTCCTCTTTTTCCCGATTGCGCACAACACGAAGTTGTCTTTGTGTGGGAGACGCAGGTCGGCTACGACACGCGTCCGCGGATAGAGAGAAATCAGCGCCATGGGAAGGGATGGGAGGGATGGATTGGATGTCAGATGAGGCGCGGGCGCGCCTTGCAGGCCCCCCTGCCCCCTCGCCCCTGTCCTCCTGCCAGCAATTGAGGGCCTCTGGTGCCTGAGGCGGAGGTCGACCACTCGAGGCCCCGCCGACGAATGCCGAGCTCTTGGGCTCGCGGCCTTCCGCCATCAAGCGCCTGGTTGCGCACGCGGCTCATGCGCGGGGCACTCCACCCTGGCACCTGCGGCGCCTCCAGCGCCTACAGCGCTTCCAGGGCATCGCCTAGCTTGCCTCCACCTCCTGTCCTGCACCCCTCGTCCCCCTCCTCCCCCTCCCCCCTTCCTTTCGCCCTGCTGGGGGCGCTTCGGTCTGTGTCCCCTCCTCCTCCTCCTCCTCCTCCTCCTCCTCCTCCTCCTCCTCCTCCTCCTCTTCTTCCCCCTCCTCCTCCTCCTCCTCCTCCTCCAGCCGTCGCCACGGCCCAGGCACCCGCGAGCGGCTCAACCCAAACCACGATCAACACAGACTCCGACTCGTGGAACACAGGGTGCTATGACGAGGACGGGGCCGCTCGGGCGGAGACGAGAAACCCCACACCGCAGTCCGCTACCGTACCCCGCCTCTGTTTCAGTTGCTTCTTACGCGTGCCATCACAGTGTATTGAAGATGCGACTTATGTATCACAATGTGCAATGGGCGGACCTTACATGTTTGGAGGGCATAGCACAGCAGGCGATTAACAATGATATCTACGTGGCGAGTGGCACAGGGAGGGCAGTTCGCGATGTTGATGCCGTCCAGGGCCAGCTGCCGAACCACCAGTGCATACAGTTCGGATGGCGGGCGTGCGGCATAGCCGTCATGGTGAGCCAGAGATTGTCAGGTGCAGCGCATAGATTGTACGCGCACACAGAGAGTCATCACAGGACGAGCGAAGATGGCAGCCACACCGGCGGGGACCCGACGCATTTGCCGCCGAGAGGCCGTGCTTACGCCGCGCGCAGGAGAATCATTCGAGACTTTCTCGAACGGGTGCAGCAAAAGCTCGACCAGAAGGGACACAACTGTTCGCCGATTGTAATGTGAGGCTACAACTGCGCGGTCGGCATCCGCGCGGGCGTCACAGGGAGCAAGTACACCAGGGAGACCGACACAATTAGCGTCGCGGAGCCCGCACCAGAGAACCACACCAGCCACATCGTGATGGATCTCTTGGAAGGCATCTTCTTCGAGATGGCGGACACACTCGGCGAACAAAACCCACGTATTACAATGGCGCGGACCAGAGGAATATAGACCCCAATGCCGTGACCGCCGCCGCGAAGGACTGCATTCGACAACTTCATCCACTTATCGGCCTGGCGCGGCGACTTCAGCGGCACGTATCCACCCACCTACACGACCATGAACCAGAGCACGTGATTTTTGACATCCACATCTACAAGGCGCACCAGAGCCAGCTCACGTTAGCTGCCAACCGCGAGCCACAAGTGTACGACACAGCAAATCTACACGACCTCGGTCGACATGATCGAGCTGGGCAGGATAGTTACCGACGATGGGCCCCGAAGCGAAGAGCAGGTACTGAGCGGGGGGTACTCGCAGAGGCCCTTTGCATGTGCATCGGCCGACGCAGATATGTGAAAGAGCACGACCTAACGAAGATGGCGTATTCCAAGGGCCACAAGAGGTTTGAGTTTCTACAGCGAGTGGAAGTGAAGACGCGACGGACACCTGAACACGAATGGTGACAAGCACCGGACCAAGGGAACGCTAAAATATTGTGGGGCATACTGGCCGGCAATATCCGAAAGGTTGTGTAGGAGACGTGTCCCAAACATGTGCAGGCAATCGTGGACCAAGAGGGAATGCACGAACTAATTCCCGAAAGGGGTCCAATGGGTGACAAGGCTACTACAGCGGCTTGGCATCACGACGACGGGGAATTACGACGACGTGCAGGTGAGCGTTTCCAGTGACTCCGATGGCAACGACGACGACAGCACCAACACAGAGCACGTGTACCCACACGTCACGCGGGAAGAGGGCGAAGGCGACGGAAGCTGGACGTCCATCGCCACGGTCAAGGCACTGACGGTGCACAGCACGCGCACAACATGAGGAACCTGTACATGCATTCGATGAACATAGGCACAGCGTATGCCCCTGGTGCCGCACATTAGTTACTAGCCGAGCGCCCTGCTTTCGTCACGTCTACACTTGCGGCTACTGCGTCCGCGAGGCGCAAACTCGCCCGTGGAGAGTCGATGACGGACACCGGCAGAGGAGCTGGCTCAGGCGTCACATCAGTCGAAGCGGAGATCAAGAGGAAGCAGAAGCTCACGTTCAACAGCGCGCAGGCGATACGCCAGCTGTCAGACAGTATGTGGGACTTCCCCCTGGCCCGAGGAGGCCACACCGTGGTGGATGCGGCCGTGGAGGCAGGCACGACATACGAGGATATCACCAAAGAGCAGGACGGCAAGTCCAAGGGGCCGCCACACCTGCACGTGGGCGTGGACTTCTCCCACGGAGAAAGGACATAACGACAAGGCCAGGGCGAACACATAGCCATCCTGAAAGACTCCGGATACCTGATTGACGTCATGGGCAAATAGAATTTCGGGGACATCCTGAGCTACCCCAAAAGTCAGGAAGGTGCACGCGGGGCAGGGACAGCCAGAGCGCTGGAAGCAGTACCTGACGTACATCAGCATAGCCAGCAACCCATGGACAAAGCACTGGGAGAACCAGATCAAGGCCATCCGCGAGGGGAACCAAGAACCGCTAAAAAGAAAAAGCAGGGCTCCCAGATCGAGGACATCATGAGAGCCGTCGCCACCGCTGCAGGCGGCGGGAGCGGAGCAGGTCTTCACAGCGCCCCCGCCCTCAGGCGTGGAGAGGCGGTTCCTAGCCGCCCTCCGCGCCAGACAGCAGCAGACGGAGGGATAGAGCTCGCAGGCCTGCGAGATCAAGTAGTCAGAGAGTTTAGGCTTGCTAAGGAGGACTGGAAGCAACCGACAGCAGTGAGCTTGGAGGATGAATGAAGTCATTTTCCTTCGTGCAGCGTAAGCAATGGCCAGACGCAGATGCCGTTTTCCATTGGTCTTTTCCATTTGTCCCCGCGGTGCCCGTTCCATTGGTCTTTTCCACGCTCTGCGGCCGCGCGCCGCGTGCTTCCCTTTGGACTCCGCGGGACGTCGGGGCGTCGGCCTCTCTGCTTTTCCCGTCCCTGGGGCAACAGGCGTCCAGGATACCAGTGTTTACCTCACGAGATAGCAAACACTAGACATGTCTCGGGGAGCGGGGACTGGGGGAGTTGGGAGTGGGCGGGGGGGAGCGGTACGATGCAGCATCAGTGCTACTCGAGCTGCAGAGAGGGGTGATAGGCCACAAGGCCCTAAGCCTCCGGAGTTGCATCACATTTTTGTTATGATGGACATGCCCCGCGCTGTAGCGGGCAGAAAGGCTAAAAAACTAAGGGTTCAGCAGGCGACCCCGTCGCTCCGCCGATCTATTGCGCCAGCAGCACCTAGTTCGTTTCGCAAATCGAACGCCAGGCCATCGGTCGACCGATACCTGACAGCTGCCGAGGCTTCCTCCTCCTCCACCTCCTCCGCCGCCCCCTCCTCCTCCTTCTCCTCCTCTTCCTCCTCCTCCTCCTCCACCTCCTCCTCCTCCTCATCCTCCTCATCCTCCTCGTTTCCCCCCCTCCCCCCCCCCCTTCCCTCCCCCTCAGCCCTCCTTCTCCACCCCCTCCCCTCCCGCTTCTCATCCCGCTCCTCCTCCTCCCTATCCTCCTCGTGTTCCCCCGCCCTTCCCCTCCCCCGGGTCCTCTTCCTCCACCCCCTCCCCTCCCGCTCGCCTGTGCGGCGCCCTCGCCCGCGGGTTCGACCTGCGCCTCCTGGCCACCCAGCCGCGCCTGTGCCCTTGAGTGTGCGGCCGCCGGGCAAAAGGGTGCCGCGCGGAAAGAGGGCCGGGCCGGGCGGGGCTGCACAGCCCCGTGAGAAGAAGAAGAAGAAGAAGAAGAAGAAGAGCAAGAAGACAAATAATAATAAATACCCAGAAATCCACTGCAATGGAAAAATCAAAACGGAGGTTTTTCTCAGTTTCCGGCCTCGGGACCCGAGGCCGGATGGAAAACCGTTTTGGGAATCGTGTCGAGATTTTCGGGGGGCCCGTATTCTGAAATCCTGACACCGGGTCTCTGTGTAAGGCAACGCCTGGCTACACGTTAGGGGTGATTCGACGCCGCAGCGATTTATGGTGCGGGCGCGTTGGGGCCCCCGGATGACTGGACGCGCTGCGACAGCAGCTTCTTGCGCGCCCGGGTCCGGCCTCCCCACGGCACCCCGAAGGTTGCGCACCGAGGATTTCGCTTGGCCGATGTCGCCGTTGCGCGTGCAGTCAAGACGCTGAAACAAGGAACAGTTTGGTTTCGGAAGGGGCTCGATGTTCCTCAGGTTCCTCCAGTGCTGTTCCTCTTGCCCTCCTGGGGCACGGAGGCGCTTACAGGGACAAGAAGGGGCTTCGTTCCTTATGTAATCGCTTCGCTTGTTCCGCCGGCCCTGGAGCGCTATTTGGGGCCTTGGGGCCGTCTTGGGGGCCTCTTGGGGGCTTCTTGTGAACGTTTTGGGGCTCCTTGGCTGCGTCTTGGGCTGGGTCTCTTAGGGGGCTCTTGGGGGCCCCTTGGGGCGGGAGGGGGGGTAGTCGATTGCAACCACCCCCTCGGAGGCCACGATCCTCTTGAGGGGTGGCGAAAAATAGCCTCCTCCCTGGGGATCGCCCGGGACCCGGCCGGGGGTCAGCCGGGGTACTTTTCGTTTGGGGGCCGCCAGGGGCCGCCCCGCGCGCGCGAATTAGAAATATTGTTAAGTAGTTACCGGAGATCTTAGCACGCATCTGGCCCGTTGGGCCGGCGAATTTAGCGTTCCGTCTTTCAGCGACCCGACTGTAGCCGACGCTCGAATCGTCGATCTGCTTGTCTCCGTCGCCTGCGGCTTGTCTTCTAGTTTTTGGCCTCCAGGGGGGGGGCGTGTTTTTGGGCGGCGGGATCTTCAGAGACGGACCGGGGGGCATCAAAAACTGCGGACGAGGGGGGTGCGCAGCGGCAGGGGGACCAGGCAGGAGGACGGGGGAGGGAGGAGGCAAGGTAACAGGTCCGAAGGACGAGGATCCACCGGAATCCGCCCAAGTGCGGTTCCCGCGCCCCTCCCAAAGGCCTCATCCTGGCCTCTTGCTTCCATGCAGGATCCGTGCGTGGACGGCCCCGTTGCCCGACACCTGGCCCGCAGGGGCAGAATGACACCCTCAGCACGGCAGAAAGCCATAGACTCGGCCACGCGCAGAAGGGGGGGTAGGGGGACAGGGGGGGATGCTTCTTTGAAGCACCCCCCTGCTTCCTAGAAGGCGCGGGCCTTCTCTGTAGGTGTAGGACCGGCGCCTTCTTAAGAAGCGGTTTCCCTCCGGGAGCCTTCCCCCCTCCGCCCACGCCCTTGCGCGCGCCGCCAACCAACAGCTTTACACAGTTCCACGGCGGGGGGCCACGAGGGGGGTCGACGACGGGCCACCGATTCGGAGGCCCGGGCTGTCCATAATCACCGCCTGGGGAATCGATCGTCGGGGATCGGCTCTGAGTATGGATACACATACGATGTACTCAGGTCCCCTGGCGCCATAACAGATGCCCATCTTTGATCCTCTGCAGGCGGCAGATATATGGATATACTCAGGCCCCCTGGGGCCACAGTGTATCCATATCCACCGCCCGCCGGGGTCCCTGGACGTCGCATCTCCAGGCGGTTGCTATTGAGAAACTCCCCGCCTCGCATTGCAAACGCGCTGTTTAGCGAAAAGTGCCAAACACATGTTCGACTGGGAGGGACAAGCGGCGAGACAAGCTTCTTCGGGGCGGCGGGCGGGCGGCGGAGACCTTCCACCGCGACACCGATCCGCGGGGCCGCCTCGTCCATTGTTCTCATCTATCCTGCTCCCCCTCCTCCCTCCTCATCCCTCCTCCTCCTCCTCCTCCTCCTCCTCCTCCTCTTCCTTCTCCTCCTCTTCCTCCTCCTCCCCCTCCATCCTCCATCCCCACCTCTTCCTCCTTCCCATCCTCGTGCCACCAGTTTCCCCCCTCCTCCTCCTCCTCCTCCTCCTCCTCTTCCTCCTCCTCCTCCTCCTCCTCCTCCTCCTCCTCCTCCTCCTCCTCCTCCTCTTGAAGCCCAGCCGCCGCGCCGCCACCACTTTCAGAGAGCCTTCGCGGCTTTCCTCCGCAAGTCCGCATTCGCCTCGCCATTCACGGTCACCCTCACGCAGCGGATTAGCGCGTGGGGTTTACATATTGCACCCGTGCTATTGTCCGAGCGATGGGAGTCGCTCACCAATGCCTTGCGTAGCGTTCGCCCCAGCTGGCGATGGGCCACACTCAAGACCCTGGTCGGCGGGTGGACGACCACCGCCCGCATGCACGTGTTCGCGCCGCGCAGCTGCGTATTCGGCTGCTGCGAGCAGCCAGACTCATTCCCACTCTACCTCTCCTGTCCTCGCCTCTTGAGCCTCCTCTGGTCCCCTGATCCTCCACCCATCATCAGCACGCTGACGAGCTGGGGGCTGGGCCCCGCAGCAGCCTACCCGCCTGTGCCGAGCGATATGTCGCTCCAGGCCACCACCCGACGCGTAGTCCTCGCGCTCTACCTCTACAAGAAGTACAGAGCGGCCACGGCCAGCCAGCCAAACGCGTTGCTGGCTGCCGCCTAGCGCACGGCGGCCGAGCCCCCATGAGGCCCAGGAGACGCGCTCGCCTCAGGCTGCCCGCACTCCTCGTCTTCCTCTCCCAGGGCGGTGGAGCAGAGGGCGGCGGCGGCGGCGGCCAGACCCCCCCCCGCACCGCGAGCCCCTGGGCGCGACTGGCGGGCCCAGCGCGCGCTCCGCGCGAGGACGGCGCGCCGCCGCCGACGCCGGCGCCCCCGCCCCCGCCGCGCCCCTTCTCGCCCCCCGCGGGCCGCGGCCGCGGCCCCGCCGCCGGCGGCCGCGGCGCTGGCCGCGGCAGGCGCGCAGCGCCGTCGGTCGTCGGAAGGGGGGGGGGAGCACGCACAGACGCGAACGCTCGTTGCTTCCCAGGAGAAGGAGGGAGGAGAAGGTGGGAAGGGGGGGGGGGGGGAAGACGAAGCTCTAGAAAGTATGGAAGAAATGGTGGATCCTGGGAGTTGTGACCATTTGCTTGTGCGTGTGTGTGTGTGTGTGTGTGTCCCTGGGCCCTTCGATTCTGTGAAGCACCCCTGCTTCCCAGAAGGCGCGGGCCTTGTCTTTAGATGTATGGCCAGCGCCTTCTAAGAAGTAGCCTCGTTCAAGAAGTCTTCCCACCCACCCTACCCCCTTCCGCGCGCCGCGAAGGTCAGCCGACCCCCTCTGGCTGCCCCGGGCATGGGAGCTGCATGGGCCGAGTTCGGTGGGTTTCGGGCCCAGAGGCCCTCCCAATAATCGATGCGGCTCGAGAGATGGCGCAGAGAGATGGGGTCTCGGGCTCGGGTTGTCATTTTCATCGCGACGTCGTATTCGGTGAAACGTCGCATTCCAGTTTACAGTCAACCCGAATTGCAAGGATGGGCAGCCTTCTCAAGGCCCAGAGGTCTGGACCCCTTCCCCAGGACTGGTTTTTCATTCCGAGTCGTTTTTAGACGCTCCCGGGATCCGGTAAAGACCCCCAGGGGCCGAAAATAGTGAAAAATTTCCCGTCGTGATTCTTTCACGACGCGAGGAGGTCTGGCTCACCTGGACTTTTGGGAGCCGTGTGGGCCCGGTTCCCCCTTTCCGCCCTCCGCTGGCCCTGTCTCGGGAGCCACTGAGCGGCTGGCCGGGCTCTGCGGCAGGGCCTTGGCCGACCACGGGTCTGTGTGTTGACCCAGGCTGGTGCCCGCCGGATGGCGTCGGAAGCGGGACTTGTGCCCAGAGGTCGCACCTCTCGATTTTTCAGTGCGGGGTCCCTGCCCAGACCTGCTCGCGTCTTGAAGAAGGCAGGACGGAGGCTCTTCTTCGTTGTCGCCCTATGGGGGCCCTCGCTGAAACCCAGGGCCGTCAAAAAATGATGCAGGATGAAATCTGGTCCGGGGAAAGGGTCAGGAGTTCTGGGGGAGCCCGTACTGAAAAAACATAACATCGCAAGTCTGGGTGGAAGTCCCGACCCTTTCCCACGGACCAGCAGCGGGTTCCAGAGACCGACCGCGTTGGCAGACATCTCGTCGGATATCTGTGTCCGTCGTGCCCTCCTGGACTTCTCGTGGGGTGCGTTCCGCCCCGGATTGCGAGGCGGAGCCCGCGGCGGCCACGAGGGCGCCCCAGAACGACGGACAATTTCCAGAATCCCAACCCCTGCAGGCCTCCTTTGCACATGGGGTCCGAGCAGATGGGGTCGGAGGGTCGTGCCGCATCGCCGATGCATCGGCGGTGCGGCTCGATGTGGACCCCGATGTTCTGTACTCTGACGTCGCCGATGCATCGCCGACGTCGCCGACGCATCGACGACGCATCGGTAGTGCATCGACGAGTTGGCGTGAGTCTCCGACCCCATCCACTCCACTCCGACCGCATCCGGGAGCCCTTTCACCTCCGTCCTCGAACCTCGGGCGCAGGAGATCTCGGGCGGCGGCGGCGGCGGCGACGTCGACAGCTGCCGGCAGGCCCGTCGCGCCGCCTGGCGCCTTCGGCCGGGGCCGCGGGCCGCCCGGCGCGGGGCGCGGCGCGGTCCACACCGCCCGCCCGGCGCCCGCGTCAGGGCCCGCGTCGGGGCCCCGGAAAACTCGGGGGCCCCCAAACGGTGTGGTGACCACACCTACTTGAGGAGTGGGGAGTGATGGAAGGAGGAGGAGTAGAGAGTAGGGAGGAGGGAGGAGCAAGGAGGGAGGAGGAGGAGGAGGAGGAGGAGGAGGAGGAGGAGGAGGAGGAGGAGGAGGAGGAGGAGGAGGAGGAGGAG